AAAAAAACCATAGTTTCCTTTAGTTTACTCAGTCTTATGTAGTTAATTTCTGTTCCATGTGATTCTGTATCAGCCGCAGTCTGCAAACTAATCAGCTTCTGCATAGGAGCTCTGGAAATTTTATTTGGTCTAGTCACAGTCTTTTTAGCAAGTCCAATGTAGTCCATCTTTCTGTTGAGGTATTTTGGTCAAACTTTTTCAGCAAATCAGCAAAGTAAAAACGTATCTGTAGATGACAAAACTTAATATGGCCATGATTAATTGATAAACATAATATTCTTAGTAGTGAAAGACCTGATAGAAATTAATTATAAGCATAATATAAAAGCCAAATAAAATCAGTTAAAAGCAACTTTAGATAAAAATATTTCTAAATATAGCCATTAACCATATTCAAAGAGCTTCAGATATAATGCATGATAATTTTGAGAGAAAATACCATATAGTCAGGATATACAAAGAATATACCAAGATTATCAAATCTCTAAATACCTGAATAGTAAAAAAAAAACTTCATGGGTAAATGATGTGAATTTCCCAATCAAACGATTGACTTTGATGATGCTAGATTAAAAAAGATAAAGTTGCGACCAAGTTAGCAATAAAGAAATAATAATATAGGTCACTGTGAAACAACGCGTAAGTTATTTAACCAAAGATCTTAAAGTAAAACCCTTAGCTTTCTTTTCTAAAAGCCATGAGGCTTAGTATTCAGACTCAGGAATCTTATTCTAATAAGAGGCCAAACCTTTGCCTTCCAGGCAGATTACATAAAGAATAAATTAACCCTTTAACTCAGAAATTAAATAAAATTTTGTTATCTTAATGGCGAGAAACCCAATTCTTTGTTTTATATGCTACTTAACATTAAAACTCCTAAAAATCTCTTAAATTAAACCAGTAAACTTTAGTAAGACAGATGAAACTTGACCATATCAAATAAATTTCTTTTTCAATAAACCTCTTAAAAGTTGCCTTTGTTGTATATCTCTTACAGTGTATCCCTTTAAATGGCAAAAATGAACACTTATTCGCAGACTTAAATATATATATCTATATATATCCTCTCGTGGCATAAAAAGACAAAGTATGTGAACTTAAATTATGACAAGTATCTATTAACTTAATAACATCAATAAGCTACCTAAAATACCTTTGAAATTATTTTAAGCCTGTATACCATAAAACATAACTGTTGTTGAAAGAAAAGTCTGTTTAAACATTCTAAGATTTCATTCAACTTTTACTACCTCTCATATTTTCCCCAATCTAATTTTAGCCCTTAAAGATTTTATCAACTGGCTTTGGAAATCACAAAGTCTCTGCTCACTTGACCAATTCATTGATATGGATATAACCTTAAGTGTCTGGCTACTGCTGGAAACATTTTTCCAGGCCACTTCAGGTTATCTTATTGTGATTTCTATTTTTTTTTTACTTCTTAAAGTTCCCCTATAATAGAGAGAACTTGTTTACAGTTCTATCATTAGGATCTACCCAATTTCTGATAACTATAGCAAAGTAGCAATTTTTCTTATCTTTTGTTTTAAAAGAGTGCCCACCTAGCTGGAAAGGGGTCTTTCAAAAGCTCCCTGGAGCTACAGGACCTTGGAGACTGGGAGGTGGGGAGGCCTGATCATGCCCCGCCCTCACTCTCTTGACTCATGGAATACATTTACATATATTTAAATTGATGGAGGCATTTTGAAAGACAAAAGATAGGTAGTTTCTTTCTTTTTTACTGTTCTGGAACTGCTACTTTTACTTTAAGACAAAACTATCCTTTTTCCTTAAATAAAACACATTTCATATAATATCTAGCTTAAGTTACTTAAAAAGGTTTTGCTTTTAAGGTTGACATAGTATAAAACATAAAGATCTTAGCGTACTTTTCAAATAGACCAATTTATAACAAAGTTTCTCCAAGTAGCTATTAAAAATCTAAATCACAAGACAGATACAAGACGCTGTTTTTTCTGGATGAAGAAGGAACTGAGTTTCTATGACTAGCCTTACAAAAAACAGCAATTCTTAGCCATAGCCACCAATCTAATACAAGACAAACTTTGACACAATGCTCTAGACCAGAAGCAAGCTCTTAGAACAAAAGGAGACAGAAAGTCCACATAAACTCACCGATAATACCACACAAAACAAGGATATGGGGATCCTAGTTGCTTAAAGTGTATATCGCAATTTTTGGTAAGATCGACTCCAAATATACAAAACAAAACTTAAGAAAACATGAGAAAGAGAACAACAAACAATACGCAAAGGTTCGTTTTCTGAGAGCACTCACTTCGTCAATGTCAAAGGGACATGGAGTGGGAACACGTGGGTCCAGAAGACAGGACCTTTCTTTGTCGGCTTCTTCTCCGCAGTCCAGGTCTCTTCGAGGTTGACTGGATTTGTAGCTTCAGATCCTGCCAACTACACCATTAACTGTTGTAGGGGAAAAACATCACAAAGTTTAGTAAAGTAAAAAGAAAGTTTTATTTGGCATATATTCAAAAGGACAAAAGTGGGAAGCGGACAAGCATGCTGCCACAGCCATGTCTGCCCAAGTCCAAAGAATATTACAGAATAGGCAAGAATGGGAAAACAGACAAGCCTGCTGCCACAGCCATGTCTGCCTGAGTCCAAAGAATATTACAGAATAGGCAAGAATGGGAAAACAGACAAGCATGCTGCCACAGCCATGTCTGCCTGAGTCCAAAGAATATTACAGAATAGGCAAGAATGGGAAATTGGACAAGCATGCTGCCACAGCCATGTCTGCCCGAGTCCCAATCAGACCACATTTTGATGTGATAGTATTTCTGATCAAAACCACAGACTTTAATTAATTCAATAATTTTCAGAATGATGGATAAAATTGCCAATTGTTCTTTCCTGCTGTGGGCAGTGTGCTTAGGGCTTTGCCAAATAATTACAGACATAAGTAGCTTCTATGTATTTAAAGTCATTTAAACTAATAAGAGGAGCCCTGGTGGCACAGTGGTTAAGAGCTCAGGCTGCTAACAAAAAGGTCAGCAGCTTGAATCCACCAGCTGCTCTTTGGAAACCCTATGGAGCATTTCTGCTCTGTTCTATGGGTCAGAATCAACTTGACAGCAATGCGTTTAAACCAATAAGACAGAGGGAAAGAAATTCTCAAAACCAAAAGAAACATATTTTCTCGCTGGTCTTTTAAATATGTTATCTCATCTATTGCCACTTACAGATGAGTTTTAAGAGGTTACATGGTTTTCCCCTAGATTTTCCAGCTAGTAAGGAGCTGAATTGGAATTTGACTACAGATCTGTTTGACTCTAGAGTGCATGCTCTCCGAATCCCAATGTTACATTGCCTCCTTGTCTTAAAATCATTTTTCTGTGTTTCTTTTATCTGTGATATGATTGAGCCTTTTTTTTTCCCTCTAGGATAATACCCTTCAAGCTGAATGGCCCTCAGCAGACGAATCCACCAGCAGCAGCATTTCATCACTTGATTTCAGCTCTAGTCCTCCCTCCACCACTGGCAGGGGACTCTGGTCAGAAAGCCCTTTGGGTGATATGGTGTCTACACCCAAATTAACCTTTCCCTTGAAGGTGGACCTCAGTTCTTCCCCAGATTTTTTAGAGGTTAGCAGCTTGACTCTTCATTCTGTCACCTCAGCAGTCCTTCAGACTGACTTTCCTGTGGCTTCTAAGGAAAGGACTTCTGCATCTCACTTACTAGAAGAAGGTGAGGAATTCTAATCTCTTACACAATTCTTTACTTTATTGTAGTAAATGACCAGAGTTTTGAAAGGAGGAAGAGACTAGGCTTAGGGGAAAAGCACAGTAGTAGTCAAGGGGAAATATCCTAGGAAAATTGTGTGAGAGAGGGAACAATCAGATTCACTTGGTTGGAATGAAGAGTCCAAAGAGGTGAATTTTAAGAAATGAACTTGGTGAGCTGGAGTGGGGATCAATTAATGGATATTTTAGGTAACACTGAAAAGTAAATAATTAAATTACTGTTAAGGAACTACTTTGGAGTCTCTGGGTGGTACCAATCATTAACACGCTCGGCTGCTAACTGAAAGGTTGGCAGTTTGAGTCCACCCAAAGGCACTTTGGAAGAAAGACCTGGTTATCTACTTCAAAAAAATCAGCCATTGAAAACCGTATGGAGCACAGTCCTGCTCTAACATACATGGGGTCTCCATGAGTTGGAATTGACTCGACAGCAACTGGTTTGATTTTTGGTTTAAAGAACAACTTTATTACTTGAATCTTGGAGTGGTAAACATAAACAGCATCAAAGAAGTTCTTAATAGGATGATGAAGTCTAGAGATTTTAACTTGGAGTAAGCTTGAGAAGGAGAGATTCTGAACTAGGGCAGCCACAATGGACATTACAAAATGAAATGAAAATGAATTGGATGATCTTCTAGATGTTGTAGAGGAAAGAGGAAATCAATGTGACTTAGGGATAGAGTATGTACGTGAAGTCCCTGGGTGGCACAATAGGTTAGGGGCTCGGCTATTAACTGAAAGGTTGGCAGTTTGAACCTACCCAGAGGTGAAAAAAGCTCTGGTGATCTGCTTCTGAAAGGTCACAGACTTGAAAATCCTATAGAGTGCACTTCTCCTCTCACGCATGGGATCTCCAGGAGTTGGAATCGACTTGATGGCAGCTGGTATACATGTGAAAGAGGAAGACGAACAAAGACATAAATAATGACTCAAGGATTTTGAACCTTAGTGAACTTGAAGGATGCTGAATAATAAATATAATAGGGAAATTGAGAGTTCAAAGACAAACTAAATTTCCTAGGGTCCTAAGTTTCTGCTGGGTTCAGTTTCTTTGTTGTCAGTATGGCTATCAGCAGTTCCTTAGTTTCATGGGTTAAAAGTATTTGAAGATAGATTATCTCAATAGTGGAGGACTTGTTATCTTTAGCGAAGGGAGTATATTCATGGGTGATTGTCCCACTTCAGAAAAACAATAGATCTTCTTGTTTGCTAGCTGTAGCAAATGAAAAGTCAGCTACTGTCCCTGCTAACTTAATGGGAAAAACATGTAGCTAGTTGTATTAGGAAAACTAGGAATGTATTCTGGCAATTCTGTAGCTTAATTAATGGAAAATTTTATTTTTAGGATTAACTAATGTTGAAGGGTCAGAAGATTATCTTTCTGCTGATCCATTGCCTTCAAGCCCATTCACTCATCATGTGCCAAAAGAAACAATACCACCCACTGAAGACTCTGAGGTGGTTTTGACATCCTCACCAGATCTGGCCTCCCGTGCCACATTAGATCTTCTTGGTAAAGAAATAACTACACCCTTTGGCTTGGACTCTGTGGCCTCCAAAGTCAAAGACCAATTAGAAGTGAGCACTTTGCTGCCAGATACATACCTGGAAAAAGAATTTATATTTGAGAGTGGTTTAGGTTCAGGATCTGGGCAAGAGGTAGATCTGATTACTTGGCCATGGAATGAGACTTTATTAGAGAAGACGACTGAACCACTGTCCAAATCATGGCTTGAAGATGAAGATTCATTTTTGCCAACTGGGGGTATAGATGAGAAACTAGTTATAGATGACAAAATGGATTCAACAGACCAAATTATTACGCATCCTTCAAAAGATGGGCAAGATGATAGATCCACAAACTTTATAGAAGAAGAGCCCCTTGGAGGACCTACTATGCCTGTCTTTGGAGAGACCACAGCCCAATCTGTATCTCTAATTCTCTCCAAGAACACATCAGAGGTACCTGAAACTGATTATTACTCAGTTACCAAAACACCTCTTCTATTGGCATCTACAGAAATCTCTGCCTCTACTGATAAACTAGATCAAATAGACTCTTTCCTAATGGAGGATATGGAACAGACTTCAGAGTCATCCAGCCATCAATGGTCTGAAAGCAAGGTTTCAACAGTAAAGTTAGACATGCAATCTTTGTGGACCATATTGCCAGAATCAGATGCAGTTTGGGCAAGAAGTTCTTTTCTAGGGAAATTGTCCAGAGACACATTGACAAGTACAACAGAGAGCACTGGCAAGCTGTGGTCAACCACAAGCTCCACCCAGCTGGAGGATGAAGTAATTATGGGTGTACAGGATATTTCATTAGAACTGGACCGGGTAGGCACGGATTACTATCAGCCTGAGCTAACCCATGAGGAAAATGGCAGGATTGGCAGTTATGTGGAAATGTCTACAAATGTTCAGTCCACAGAAATGGCTATTGTGACTCAGCCCACAAAAGGAGGTGACTTGAGTCATACTCAGACAGCAGGAGCTTTGGTGGTTTTCTTCAGCCTCCGAGTGACTAACATGATGTTTTCAGAAGATCTGTTTAATAAAAACTCTTTGGAATATAAAGCCCTGGAGCAAAGATTCTTAGAATTGGTAAGTACAAAAAGTAAAACATGGGCAACAGTAGATTTCATGAATGTTCCCTCCATCCCCCAGCACACAAGATCTGAGCCAAGGAAAGTGTGGTCTGTTGTGAACATTCATTTCCTATCATCTACAAATAGCACCATGGCCTACGGTTGGTAGGATACAATAAGACAGGTGCATACAAGAAATGAGAACAACAAATGTAGCACAAGCAATGTGACAGGTTAGAGACTGAAGATTGTATTTCATGAAATTTGGGACTAAAATAAGCTTGAGATTTCTTTTGCAAGTATTATTTTTATCTGAGACCAAAGTTTTGCAGGTACCTAGAATGCCTTCTGAGTCCCTGGGTGGTGCAAACTGTTAATGCACTCAGCTGCTAACTGAAAGGTTGGCGGTTCAAGCACACCCAGAGGCACCTTGGAAGAAAGACTTGGTGATCTACTTCTGAAAAATCTATTCTGACACACATGGGGTTGCCATGAGTCAGAACTGACTCCACAGCAACTGGTTTGGAGAATGCCTTCACTGTTGTGACCCTGTAGTGAAAACAGGGAGAGTAAACTCTCTGGGCATCTAAAACTGTTCTGCAAGTTTCATGGGGTTCCTGTATATCACTATGAAAATCTCACAACTTTCAAATAGTTCTTAATTTATTCTTTTGTTAATTAACAGTTTAAGTAATGGAAAGAGAATGTAATTAGAAAAATGGGGGAGGGGCTTAAACTTTTTTTTGGTATGTGTTGAAGAAATAATAACTTAGCACTTTTTATGTACTGTAGCTGGTGCCCTATCTTCAGTCAAATCTCACAGGATTCCAGAACTTGGAAATCCTGAACTTCAGAAATGGCAGCATTGTGGTGAACAGCCGAATGAAGTTTGCCAAATCTGTACCTGCTGATGTCAACAATGCCGTATACATGATTCTGGAAGACTTTTGCACCACTGCCTACCAAACTATGAACTTGGCTATTGATAAATACTCCCTTGATGTAGAATCAGGTAATGATATTGCCTACTATGGTGGTTTCTAAGTGGAATACAGTGATTATTGTATATTTTGTTTTATGTTAATTAAAAAATGAATCCAGTACTTGCAGGAAAAAAAGAGTACTATGTGAGACAAATTTCCCACATCTTGTTATTTAATAAAATATCTCTTCCAAGAACACCTGTATCATTCTCTTTTCAAAGGGTTATCTTGATCACCTCCCATTCCCTTTTCCACCTGCTTTATCTGGCACTCTCTTCTATTTATCCACTGAATCTGTTCCTACTAAGCCTCTATGTTGCCAAGCCAAATAGATTTGGTCCTGTGTGCTCTTTTCCTTCTATATTATTCCCCCAAGTTATTGCATCCATCCCATTATTTTAAGTCCTGTGTAAATGTAAGTAATTCCCCACATTTTTATATCCAGAGCAGATGTCTCTTAAGAGCTCCAGAGTCAATATTTACTTACTTGATAATCTTCACTAAGATGTATTCTATGTATCTCAAAATTAATATGTCTAATAGTGAGCTCTGTTTTCCATATCTCCCTACCCTCCAACTAACTCCACTCTTTCTCTCAGTTTCTCCATCTCAATAAGTGGAGACTCTATAAAGTCAGCTACTTCAGCCAGAAACGCAGGAAGACATTCCTAATACCTTACTTTCCATCACCCTGACTTTCAGTCCCTTATAAAACTGTATTGATTATGAATTCTAAATATATCTCAAATCTCTTCTGTCTCCACTGCACAACTCTAATCCCAGCCATTATTATCTCTCATTTGGACCAGTTTCCCATTTCTTCTCTTCCTCCTCCTTATACCCATTCTCCAGGCAGCCGCCAGAGCACTCTTTCTAAAAAATCAATCAGATTTTTTCACTTTCCTGCTTAAAGCCTTTCAATGACTTCCTGGTTCAGTAGTTTCAAGGCCTGGTTCCTATCTTCTTCTCCAATTTTGGCCAGTGAAACTAACATCTTTGCTTACCATGTTCTAGTCAAACTAACTTGTTTTTAGTCTCTCAGATACAAAATTTTTTTTCTGGACTTAAAGGCTTTGCACATACTCTCCCTCTTGCCTCAAAGTCTTTCCTCCTCTGGCTGACTCCTGCTCACCCTTTATGCCTCAATTCAAATGTCACTTCCTGAAGGCTTTCACTGACTCACCCATGAGCTAGATTGGATCTCCCGTATTAGTCTTTCTTATAACATCGTGTTCTTTTCTCTTGTAGAGTTTGTCACCATTGTAATAATGCTAATTTATGTGCACAGTTGCTTAAATGCTATTTTTCCCAGTTAGGCTATCCTCAAGGACTGAGACTATGCTTGTTTTATTAACCACTGTCTAGGCAGAACCTAGCACTGTGCTTTACACACAGAAGGTACTCAATATATACTGTGAATGAATGAAATGAACCATTATTTTTAGTTAGAAGACTTGGATGCAAGACATTACTGCTGAATCCTTAAATTTTGTTCGTCTTTCTCATATACTGGTGGTTTTGAGCGAGAGTAAGGTAGACTGTCTGGTTTCATATTTCTTCAGTACCTTTTACTCTCAAACTGGTTTGGAAGTGAGCCCTATTCTTTAGCTGGGAAAGAAACATTCTTTCCTTTGAAATTCTTGAATGACCATTATTCATTCAAAGTGAGGAAAATGATTTAGCCAATCCCCAAATATCCAAAGGCTGTTTGTACATTCTTTGCCATGTGGTGTAGTGGAAGAAGCAATTAATTATAATTTGGAAGATCTGGGTTCTTGCCTTGGCTATGCTATATATCACTTGTGTGACCCTTAGATGAGTTATTTTCACTTTGAGCTTCAGTTCCCTCATATGTTAAATGGAGGATAATATTACCTGCCCTGTGTGTTTCATAGGACTATGCTAAGGATTAAACAAGTAATATATATAAAAGCATTTGGCCAGCCCTACCAATGCAAGCAGTTATGATTTATAAAACTTTTGTAATAGCAAATGCACTTGTTTTAAAAGAAGTGCACTAAATCAATGCATTTACTTCAGTTTTGTATGTCACTCACAAGTCAGCTGCCTGTCAATCATCCAGGTTTATACCATCACACTTTCCTTTAATACTGACATGAGCCCCTCCCATGGACAGTGTAAAACCTGCATCTGAATCCTTTCCCCCTAACTCTAAGGATTCTCAGGGAACTAAAATTTCTCTTAATCACTTACGGCTCTGAGTTCCTCCTGCTGAATTTCCAATTTCAGTTGTGTCTTGACTTTTGTGGTTGTTCTTTATGTTGACCAAACACAGGCCCTGGATTTTGGTTTTCCCAAAGCACCTCTACACAAGGCAGTTGATTCTGTCAGATATTTGCTGATGGTATGAGGATAGTTGGAAGAGGCTTTTATCACAGCCAACAACTTAAAATATTACTTCTAGGCATCATCATCCTAAAATTCCTCAGTCACCCTCTCAAAGGCATTTCTTACTCGCCAACTTTTTCTCCAGGACCTGGACAGCTAAGATGTTGCTCTGGAAGCTCAGGATGTCTTTCCAGATACTCTTCACATTTCCTCCACATTCGTCTTCCTGAAAACATCAGTCCTTCTCTTAGATTGCCCCTGGAAAACCAGAATGTAATTGATTCTACACTTGAGATCCCTGTCTTCTATCTCAACCTTAGCTCTGGGTCTACTTCTGTTTTCCCATAAAGTTGTTAAGGAGCTATTCCAAACACAGGGCCATCTATCCTAGAAAGAGACTGAAGCCAATCTTTTATTTACATAATTAAAATATGAGGTTTAATCTCTTTCTTGGCTCTGAAAGCAGAAAGGAGCAACACGTATCATTTTCCTCTTGGAGATTCTATTTTCCTCCTTGCAACCACTCACCTACACCCAAAGAACGGTCACAAAGTTTTAAAAAATTTTAAGTAGAATTTTCCTAGTACATGTATATTTCTAGTTAAAGCTCCTCAGATTAAATTATTATTTTATTTCAAGACTAGCTAGAGATAAGATTGACTTGTCTCTTGCATAACTTGTTTTCACAAGCAGTGTCTCAGAAACTCTTGAACTTCTATCAATGAAGCGGAACTGTGAAATACCATATTCCCCTCTTCCCCTCATCCCTCACTGCTAGACCAGTTTTAGATTATTTTCTGATTACACACTTACCAAATGAATACTAGGCTAAGGCTGTGAAGACTTAGGAAACGTACAGTGGGATCCTGCTCTGTCAGCACTCATATATTCTTCTTGTATGTGACCATCTTGGCAGTGGTCCCCTGATTTTCATGCAGGACCAAGGGAGATTAGCTGCAGAGATCTTCCAAACCCCAAAGCTACAAACCTGTTCAAATTTATCTTCAATTTCCAGAACATCAAGGAAATCATTTTTCAAAACAACATTAACTATTCTGGAAACCCAGAGACAGTGTTTTTTTTCCTTATCCTTCTAGCCAAACTTTACATCTTTTCATAGAGAAGAATATGGGTAACTTTCATCTAGTTTCTCAGTTTTTGGTATCTATGTTACCATTTGCCCATTTGCCATTCACAGATTGCCATTCATCAGTGAAGAATGTATGGTAGAACCATGGTAGGATGGAAGGCCCATGGCCACTGTCTTAATTAATTTTTGGCTAGTTATTGTCCTAATTCTGTTTTAAAAAATATCATTTCCTTTCATCCCATCAATGAAAAATGAAATAACTTAAGCCAAAATATTGTTGGGAATGGCTGGGCAGGTACAGGGATGATTTGCTTTTCTAATATTGGTTTCCACGAACATCGCTGTTCCCAACCTGTTGTAAATGGGCTATATCCACATCTGAGGCTCCTACCAGATCTTCTCTGAGCTCTTTCTCTCCAGTCCATGTAGCACTATGAGCAGAGTAGAGGTGCACTAGAGCAGGACAGAGTTAGTGGAAATGAACAGTACATGAACACTGTGTTAAATTTAAATTTACGATTACATGACATGGAGTTTAAAGACCCAGGTCATGGGGTTTTATGATTTTGGCTCTGAGTTTCAGAGAAATTTGTAAGAAGCTCATCAATCAAGGATGAGTCAAAAATTTTTCATAGTGATGGTATAATTAATGGTTCAGAAGAATTGTTCCATGGTACTCTGGGGAGCGATTTAATGGGTGGGCTTCATGTACCTCAGTTTCTGTGCTTTGCCTTTCCTTGCACCAGTCTCTGTTTTGTTTGAGGTTTTAGGCGATCAAGCCAATCCTTGCAAGTTTGAGGCCTGCAATGAATTTTCTGAGTGTCTGGTCAACCTCTGGAGTGGAGAAGCAGAGTGCAGATGCCTCCCTGGGTACCTGAGTGTGGAAGAACTGCCCTGTCAGAGTCTCTGTGACCTACAGCCTGACTTCTGCTTGAACGATGGAAAGTGTGACATTATGCCTGGGCATGGGGCCATTTGTAGGTATGTTACAGTTACGGATTTTGGCTTCACAAGGTTATAAACACTTCCTCTAAAGAAAAAGGGTATATACCTATGGTTTTAGGATAATTACAGCAATGTTTATTATTTATTATAAATAATAATATTTATTATTATATTTAGATAAGAGATGAGTCCTATATCTTTCTCATGTGAAGACTGAGTCAGTTAATAGGCCTGAATTATACTCTGTTCAAGCGGTTATTTTATGTTCTTAGGGAGGTATCATAAAAATATTAAACAAATAAATCCTACTGATTGTATTTGGAATAGTTGGAGATCTTTGTGTTACGGTTCTTACAGTAATGATAAGGCAACCAGTGTTCAAATTAGTTTTAGGTATAAGATCAACACTTTACACTATCTGAAAGTGAAAGCAAAGAAGTTTTACTGTTCTACTTGCATTATATTCTTAATGACTTTTAGCCTCTACTGGTCCTTCTGAGTATTCAAAAATAAGGAAAAACAAGTTTTGAAGTCTTTGAAGTGGTGACAAGTATATTTTCATCTAAGTATCTAAGATTCCTTTCTTTTTTTTTTTTAATGGTAGACCCTTGAATGCAGCAGACAGATAAGCAGATTCAGGTAGCCTGATCCTCCTTCCCTGCCCACTTCTCTTGAACAAAATAGAACAAAACAATTTCCCCACTACAGACAACCAAAGTCTTATGGGTGTAAGAGGAGAGAATGGAGAAAATAAAGAAGACATAACCAGAAGACAATCTGTGAAGATCAAAATGGGCAAATGCTGGTATAGATCCCAAAAACAGAGGAAATGGGAGGAAACAATCTAGAGTCTTCCATAGGGAAAGGTGTAAAGTTTAACTAGAAGACTAAGAAAAATAGTCTCTTGGTTTCCAATGTAACTAATATTGTTGTGAAAAGCAGTGATTTCCTTGCTGCTCTGGGGAATGAAGACATTTTCACACAAGTCTGTGGCCTTGAAGTTTGGAGATTCTCAGCAGTGTGGTAAAAGGACATTAGAAGTCTGGAGACCCGGGTTCTAGACCCAGTTCCTTGCTGACAAATTGTGTGACCTCAGGCCAGTGATTTTCCTTCTCTGGATCTGTTTTTCTTTATTCATAAATAAGGAGGTTGAATCTTAGTTCATTGTGTAGGGCCTGGGGTCTTAAAATCTTGCAAGCAGCCATCCAAGTTACGATTGATCTCTATTCCCCTGGAACAACAGAGGAAGAAGGAGAGTCAGGAATAGGAGGAGGAAATGGAATGTGAATCAAAATGCCTCTATTAACAATTGCTCCCTTTGCCATAATACCAGAACTGGATGGTATTGGCTACCATTATGAACATTTTCATCAAAGATTCCATAGAAGAGCACTGATCAAAAGGGGGAAAATGCAGAACAGAATTTAAAATTCCCATAGAATCCAGATTTCCAGGAGCCACAGAGCTTGATGAATCCCTGAAACTATTACCCTGAGATAATCTTTAAGCCTTAAACCTTAAACCAAACATATCCCCTGAGGGGATAACAGAAAATACAGAGAGAACTGTTGAAGATTTGTGGGCAGGAAATCTTCCCTGATATCATGAAAGACGAGAAGATATCTATCCAAGAAGCTCATTGAACCCCACACAGGGTAGATCCCACAAGAAAATCACCAAGACATATTATAATCAAACTTGCCAAAACCAAAGATAAAGAGAGAATTTTAAGAGCAGCTAGGGATAAACGAAAAGTCAACTACAAAGAAGAGTCAATAAGACTAAGCTCTGACTACTCAGCAGAAACTATGTAGGCAAGAAGGCAGTGGGATGACATATATAAAGCCTTGAAGGAAAAAATTGCCAGCCAAGAGTTATGTATCCAGCAAAACTATCTCTAAAATATGATGGCAAAATTAGGGCATTTCCAGATAAATGGAAGTTAAGGGAATTTGTAAAAACCAAACAAAAATTACAAGAAATACTAGAGGGAGTCCTCCTGTTAGAAAATCAATAATATCAGATAACAACCCAAGACTAGAACACAGGACAGAACAACCACATATCAGCCCAGAGAGGGAAGTCACAAAAATAAGTCAAAGCTAAAACACTGAAAATAGGGAAACAGAGACATCAATATGTAAAAGATGACAACATTAAAACAAACAAGAGAACTAAATAATGTAGTCATAAAACTTTCCTATGGAGAAGAAGTTAAGGCAATATCAAGAAATAAAGGAGTGGTTTAAACTTAGAAAAATAGAGGTAAATTTTAAGGTAACCACAAAGGAAACTAACAATCTTACACATCAAAATAAAAAACAAGAAAAACATAAAGACTCAACAAATACAAAATCAACAACAATGAAAAAGATGAAAAGAAAATACATAAAGAAAAATGACTCAGCACAGAAAATTAAGTGGAACAAAGAAACTGTCAACAACACACACAAAAATACATGAAAATGACAGCACTAAACTCATACCTATCAATAATTACACCAAATGTAAATGGACTAAACGCACTAATAAAGAGACAGAGAGTGGCAGAATGGATAAACACGATCCATCTATATGCTGCCTACAAGTGACAGACCTTAGACTTAAAGACACAAACAAACTAAAACTCAAAGGATGGAAAAAATATATAAAGCAAACAACACTCAAAAAAGAGCAGGAGTGGCAATATTAAACTCTGACAAAATAGACTTTAAAGCAAAATCCACCACAAAGGATAAGGAAGGACCCTATATAACGATAAAAAGGTAAGTACACTAGGAGGAGGACATAACCACAATAAATATTTACGCACTCAACGACAGTGCTCCAAAATACATAAAACAAAGCCTGGCAGCACTGAAAAGAGAAATAGACAGCTCCAAAATAATAGCAGGAGACTTCAATGCACCACTTTTCATGAAGGACAAAACATCCAGAAAGAAGCTCAATAAAGACACGGAAGATCCAAATGTCACAATCAACCAACTTGATCTCATAGACATATACCGAACACTCCACCCAACAACAGCACATGGAACATTTTCTTTTTCAATGCACGTGGAACATTCTCCAGAACAGATCACGTATTAGGCCATAAAGCAAGCCTTAGCAGAATTCAAAACATCAAAATATTACAAAGCATCTTTTCTGACCATAAAGCCATAAGAGTAGAAATCAATAACAGATAAAGCAAGGAAAAAAAAAAAAACAAATACATGAAAACTGAACAACACCTTGCTCAAAAACTACTGCGTTATAGAATAAATCAAGGACAGAATAAAGAAATTCATAGAATCAAATAAAAATGAAAACACATCCAACCAGAACCTTTGGGACACAGCAAAAGCAATGCTTAGAGGTCAATTTCTAACAATAAATGCACATATCCAAAAAGAAGAAAGGGTCAACATCAAAGCATTAACGCAATAACTCAAACAAATAGAGAGCAACAAAAGAAGCCCTTGGTCACTAGAAGAAACAAAATAATAAAAATTAGAGCAGAAATAAAGGAAATAGAGAATAGAAATACAATTGAAAGAGTTAACAAGACCAAAAGCTGGTTCTTTGAAAAGATCAACAAAATTGATAAACAATGGCCAAACTGACAAAAGAAAAACAGAAGAGGAAGCAAATAACCCAAATAAGAAATGAGATGGGTGATATCACAACAGACCCAGCTGAAATTAAAAGAATCATCACAGAATACTATGATATATTATACTCTAACAAACTTGAAAACCTAGAGGAAATGAACAAATTTCTAGAAACACATTACCTACCTAAACTAACACAAACAGAGGTAGAACAACTAAATAAACCTATAACAAAAGATGAGATTGAAAAGGTAATTAAAAAACTCCCCAACAAAAAAAGCCCTGGGCCTGACTGCTTCACGGGAGAATTCTACCAAACTTTCAGAAAAGAGTTAACACCACTACCACTAAAGGTATTTCAGAGCATAGGAAAGGGTGGAATACTCCCAAACTCTTTCTATGAAGCCAGCATAACCCTGATACCAAAACCAGGTAAAGATACCACAAAAAAAGAAAATTACAGACCAGTATCCCTCATGAACATTGATGCAAAAATCCTCAAAAAAATTCTAGCCATAGAATTCAACAACATATCAAAAAAATAATTTATCATGATCGAGTGGGATTTATACCAGGTATGCAGGGATGGTTCAACATTAGAAAAACAATCAGTGCAATCCATCACATAAATAAAACAAAAGACAAGAATCACATGATCTTATCAATGGATGCAGAAAAGGCATTTGACAAAGTCCAACACCAATTCATGATAAAAACTCTCAGCAAAATAGGAATAGAAGGGAAATTCCTCAACATAGTAAAGAGCATTTATACAAAGCCAACAGCCAACATCATCCTAAATGGAGAGAGTCTTAAAACATTCCCCTTGAGAACAGGAACCAGACAAGGATGCCCTTTGTCATCACTCTTATTCAACATTGTGCTGGAGGTCCTAGCCAGAGCAATTCAGCTAGAAAAAGAAATAAAGGGCATCCAGATTGGCTGAGAAGAAGTCAAAGTATCTCTATTTGCAGATGATATGATCTTATACACAGAAAACCCCAAAGAATCCACAACAAAACTACTGGAACTAATAGAAGATATCAGCAAAGTATCAGGATACTAGATAAACATGCAAAAATCAGTTGGATTCCTCTACACCAACAAAGAACTTCCAGGAGTAAATGACCAAATCAATACCGTTTACAATAGCCCCCAAGAAGATAAAATACTTGGGAATAAATCTAACCAGAGACGTAAAAGACCTATACAAAGAGAACTACAAGACGCTACTGCAAGAAACCAAAAGAGACCTACATAAGTGGTAAAACATACCTTGCTCATGGATAGGAAGACTCCACATTGTGAAAATGTCAATTCTACCCAAAGCAATCTACAGATACAATGCAATCCCAATCCAAATTCCAACAACATTTTTTAACGAGTTAGAGAAACAAATCACCAACTTCATATGGAAAGGGAAGAGGTCCTGGATCAGTACAGCATTACTGAAGAAGAAGAGCAAAGTGGGAGGCCTCACACTACCTGATTTTAGAACGTATTATACCTCCATGGTAGCCAAAACAGCCTGGTACTGGTACAACAGATACATAGATCAATGAAATAGAATTGAGAATCCAGGCTTAAATTCATCCACCTATGAGCAGCTGATATTTAATAAAGGCCCAAAGTCCACTAAATGGGTAAAACACAGTCTCTTTAACAAATGGTGCTGGCATAACTGGATATCTGCAAAAAAACTGAAACAAGACCCATACCTTACACCATGTACAAAAACTAACTCAAAATGTATCAAAGACCTAAATATAAAATCAATAATGATAAAGATCATGGAAAAAAAATAGGATCAGCACTAGGAGCCCTAATACATGGCATAAACAGAGTACAAACCATAACTAACAGTACATAAATACCAGAAGAGAAGCTAGATAACTGGGATCTCCTAAAAATCAAACACTTAAGCTCACCAAAAGACTTCACCAAAAGAGTAAAAAGACAACCTACAGACTGGGAAAAAAATTTTGGCTACGACAGATCCGATCAGTGTCTAATTTCTAAAATCTACAAGATAGTGCAAAACCTCTGCAACAAAAAGACAAAGAACCCAATTAAAAAATGGGCAAAGGATGTGAACAAACACTTAACCAAAGAAGACATTCAGGTGGCTAACAGATACATGAGGAAATGCTCACAATCATCAGCCATTAGAGAAATGCAAAATCAAAACTGCAATGAGATACCATCTCACCCCAGCCAGGCTGGCACTAATCCAAAAAACACAAAAAAATAAATGTTGGCAACGTTGTGGAGAAACTGGAACACTTAGACACTGTTGGTGGGAATGTAAAATGGTACAACCACTTTGGAAATCGATTTGGTGCTTCCTTAAAAAGCTAGAAATAGAAGTATCAAATGATCCAGCAATCCCACTCCTTGAAATATATCCTAGACAAATAAGAGCCGTCACACAAATAGATACATGCACACCTATGTTCATTGCAGCACTGTTCACAGTAACAAAAAAGATGGAAACAACCTAGGTGCCTGTCATGGATTGAATTGTGTCCCCCCAAAATATCTGTCAACTTGGCTAGGTCACGATTCCCAGTATTGTATAATTGTCTACCTTTTGTCATCTGATATGATTTCCCTATGTGTTGTATATTCTATCACTATGATGTAATAAGATGGATTAGTGACAGTTATATTGATGATGTCTGTAAGATTAGATAGTGTCTTAAGCCAATCGCTTTTGAAATACAAAAAAGAGAAGCAAGCAGAGAGACAGGGGGACGAAGAAAGCAGTGCTAGGAGCAGAGCGTGTCCTTTGGACCTGAGGTTCCTGTGCTAAGATGCTCCCAGACCAAGGGAAGACTGATGACAAGGACCTTCCTCGAGAGCCGACAGAGAAGAGAAAGACTTCCCCTGGAGCTGACACCCTGAATTTGGACTTGTAGCCTACTGGACTGTGAGAGAATAAATATCTGTTTGTTAAAGCTATCCACTTGTATTTCTGTTATAGCAGCACTATATGACTAAGACAGTGCCCATCAACAGATGAAAGGAAAAACAAATTATGGTACATACACACAATGGAATACTATGCAATGATAAAGAACAATGATGAATCTGCAAAACATCTCACAACATAGATGAATCTGGAAGGCATTATGCTGAGTGAAATGAGTCAGTTGCAAAAGAACAAATATTGTATGAGACCACTATTATAAGAACTTAAGAAAAAGTTTAAACACAGAAGAAAACATTCTTTGATGGTTATGAGGGTGGGGTGGGAGGGAGAGGGGAATTCACTAACTAGATAGTAGATAAGAATTATCTTAGGTGAAGGGAAAGACAGCACACAATGTAGGTGAAGTCAGCACAACTGGACTAAACCAAAAGCTAAGACGTTTCCTGAACACAGCCAAACACTTCAAGGGACAGAGCAACAGGGGCTGGGGTCTGGGGACCGTGGTTTTGGGGGACATTTAGGTCAGTCGGCATAACAAAGTTTATTAAGAAAATATTCTGCATCCCACTTTAGTGAGTGGTGTCTGGGGTCTTAAAAGCTTGCGAGCGGCCATCTAAGATGCATCAATTGGTCCCAATCCACCTGGAGCAAAGGAGAATAAAGAACACCAAAGACACAAGGAAAATATTAGCCCAAGAGACAGAAAGGGCCACATAAACCAGAGACTCCATCAGCCTAAGACCAGAAGAACTAGATAGTGCCCGGCTACCACCAATGACCACCCTGACAGGGAACACAACAGAGAGTCCATGACAGAGCAGGAGAAAAGTGTGGTGCAGAACTGAAATTCTTGTAAAAAGACCAGATGTAATGGTCTGACTGAGACAGGAGGAACCCTAGAAGACATGGCCTCCGGTTGCTCTGTTAACCCAGAGCTAAATCCATTCCTGAAGCCCACTCTTCAGACAAAGATTAGACTGGACTATAAAACATAAAATAGTACTTGTGAAGAGTGTGCTTCTTAGTTCAAGCAGATACAGGAGTCCAAACGGGCAGCTCCTGTCTAGAGGCAGGATGAGAAGGCAGAAAGGGACAGGAGGTTGGATAGACACTGGAAACCCAGGGTGGAAAGGGGGGTATGCTGTCACATTATAGGGATTGCAGTTAGTGTCACATAACAATGTGTATAAATTTTTGTATAAGAGATTAACTTGAGCTGTAAACTTTCACCTAAAGCATAATAAAAAAAGGAATAAATAAATTAAAAAAAAATCCCCTGAAATCTTCTCAAAAGCAAACAACAGTTTAGCTTAACTAGGAAAGAATGTCTGCCTTGAGCATTGAGCTCTTTTAAGATCTATCTATATGGGATCAAACTGACAATAGCAACTCAAATGTTTAGACAGAAAACTTAGGGGCCAGTGAGTTTGTGTTAGTAAGGGAGGCACAACTCAGAAAATGAGGGTGAGAATGGTTACACAACTCTAAGAATGTAATCAACGTCACTGAATTGTACATGTAGAAATTATTGAATGGGTGTATGTTCTGCTGTGTATATTCTCAACAACAACAAAAATAAATTATAAAAAAATAAGGAGGTTGAATGAATAAGTCTATTTAATCACTCATTTACAGTCATTGATGACCTACTGGGTCTGTGCCAAGCATTATGCATAACCTTAAATTGTATGATCATCTGACGTGTGTGTATTGAATTCTTTAAAGAAGCTTCATTTGGTCAACATTTATTTCTTTACCTTTCTCTAGTCCTGCTGGAGATTCTGCTGTTAATTGTTACTGTGGGCAGAGTGGTTCAGTTTTCGGACTTGGTGATTGTTCTTTACAGATGCCGGGTGGGTGAGAACTGGTGGTATCGAGGTGAGCACTGTGAGGAGTTTGTGTCAGAGCCCTTGGTGATTGGCATCACCATTGCCTCCGTGGTTGGACTGCTCCTCGTCTGTTCTGCTGTCATCCTCTTCCTTGTCAAGACTCTTCAAGCTCAATATGCTAGGAGCGAAAGAGAAATGACTTTCAGGTAAATAAGGAAAAGAGCTCTCTGATGCAATAAATATTCCTTTTATTCTCATAGTACTTTCTATATGCAAATATTGGACCAGGAGCTAGGTGGAGGGGGAAGAACTATAAAGTTGAATAAAAACATGGTCCCTGGCCTCAAAAGGGTGGCAGATTGAAAAGAAACTAGCCATAATACAGCGTGAACAGCAGTATGAACAAGGTGCTAAGGAGCCTGGATGAGGGATGCATTCGTTTTGCCTGGGGGAGAGAGTCTTAGCATTTTCAATGTGGTTGTGACTATTTAGCTGGGCAGTAAGTAGAGATTTGCTAGGGGTGGGGTGAGATGCTTTCTAGCTAGTTGAATGGACATAAATAGGCAAAGACAGGGAGATATGCATGAATCACAAGGCACAGTGAAGGAATGGCACCATTGAGTGTGGTCAGAACACCTGTTTCATGGTGGTAGTGACTGTGGGGGACTGAGGGGGAGTTGATGGAGATGAGGTGGAAAAGGTGTCTCCCTTGTGTAAGGAGCCAGAACTGTTACAGTTTGTTCCCTTTTGGCTCATATCAGCGGTAACTAGCCAGATTTTAAATCTAGGTAAGACTCTGACAGGAAATGAAATCTTCCTCTTTGTTTAGTTAAGCATGGGTTTATTAATGGGGGAAATAAAACCCTTTCTAGGGAATAGGGATTCATGCACCCTTTGGGTGGCCATATGATCACAATCCCTGGCTGTACTTTCTGTTCTTCTAGAGTCCTTACCTTCGCTGGAAGCCTTCCCTAGCCTCTGGCTGGACTAAGGAGGCACCCCTCCTGAGTTCCTAGAGTGCCCAGAATATACCTCTACTAGGTTCTTATGGAGCCCTGGTGGTGCAGTGGTTAAGAGCTTGGCTGTTAACCAAAAGGTTGGCAGTTTGAATCCACCAGCTGTTCCTTGGAAACCCTATGAGGCAGTTCTACTCTGCCCTATAGGGTCACTATGAGTGAGAATAGACTCAACGGCAAGGAGTTTTTAGTGTTCTTATAGGAGCCCTGGTGGTGCGGTAGTTAAAGCGCTCGGCTGCCAACTGAATGGGCAGCGGTGTGAACCCACCAGCTGCTTCATGCGAGAAAGATGTAGCAGTCTGCTTCTGTAAAGATTACAGCCTTGGAAACCCTATGGGGCAAATATACTCTGTCGTATAGGGTCACTGTGAGTTAGAATCAACTCGATGGCGGTGGGTATGGGTATGGGTAGTGTTCTTACACAGTGTATTGAGTCTGACTTTGCATTAGATTCTAATCTCATCCAGGGCAGGGATTCCAACAAATCCTTCTTTGTAGTATCAGTATCTAGAACAGTCTTAGACTTATAATTAATGCTCAGAAAATATTTGTAGACCTCAATTGAATTTAATCGATGCCCAGCCCTCCTATATTTATATTTCTTCTAGATTCGCTGTATGGTTATATACTGATTTTTGATTTGTAAACTCTGGGAGTATCAAAGCTGTATTCTTTTAATAAAACACTATCTACTGGCAGATATATTTCCAAACTAACACTTATCGACTCCCAGGCACTCTGGGGGCAAATGAAGATGAATGAGACATGGAATATTTCCACTTGCCATCTAGCTGAACAGATAATCATGATAAAAACCAAAAAACCAAACCCGTTGCCATGAAGCGATTCCGACTCATAATGACCTTAGAGGACAGAGTAGAACTGCACCCTAGGGTTTCCAAAGAGCAGCTGGTGGATTCGAACTGCCGACGTTCTGGTTAACTTCCGAGCTCTTAACCCTGGAGCCACCAGGGCTCTGATTATAATGATAACGTGATAAATAACATGTGAGATTGATTTTAGTAAATTTCATGGTCATTTCCCGTTTGTATCCAGTTCACCTTTTTCTTCCACAACAGAAATCTTATCCCAGGTAATTACTCTTTCGAATAGTTGAGCATTTGAAGGAGAACATGAATTAACCGTGCCTTTCTTTTTTGTGAGCCCTGGTGGTGCAGTGGTTAAAGTGCTCAGCTGCTAATCAAAAGTTGGCGGTTCAAACCCACCAGCCGCTCCGTGGGAAAAGGATGTGGCAGTCTGCTTCCATAAAGATTACAGCTTTGGAAACCCTCTGGAAGCAGTTTCACTCCGTCCTATACAGTCACTATGAGTCAGAATCAGCTCCACGGCCGTGGGTTGTTCTGGTTTTCTTTTTCGTGGTTCCAGCGGGCCGCCCGACAGCCTCTCATCCATTGAGAATGCTGTGAAGTACAACCCCGTGTATGGAAGCCACACAGCTGGATGCGAGCAGTACGAGGGACCCTATCCCCAGCGTCGCTTCTACAACTCTGATAGCGGAGAAGTGATTGGTGGTGTGAGCAGGGAAGAAATCAGGTGGATGTATGAGAGCAGCGAGCTTTCCAGAGAGGTAGGAAACCTAGCTTTTCTGTTGCTGCTCTGCTGCTGTGTGTGCACGTGTGTGTGTTGGTATCGGTGTGTATGTGGGCTTCAAGAAAGGATGAAAGTATTTCATGATTAGTTTTTTTATCTCATGATATTTCCCTGTCTATGTGGAATGCAGAGGGTAAATGATTCAGAGCTGTACCTTAATTCCCACCCAGTGGTCCCTTTTTCCATTATTGTTAACAAAATAATTTCTCTCTCTCCCTCTGCTTGTCTCTTTCTACCCCCCTTCTTTAGAAAGGTTCTAAGAATAACTTTTCTGAATTATCCAAACCTTCTGTTTCTCTAAACTGAGTCTCTCCTGGATGACCCAGAAAACCATAATTCCTTATAAAAAGTAGAACTCCCTGAAAAAGAATGTTGAGCTTTTTCTAATGAAATGTATAGCTTCTTTTTCTATTTCTTTTTTTTTTTAAAGGAAATTCAGGAAAGAATGAGAATTTTGGAACTGTATGCCAATGATCCTGAGTTTGCAGCTTTTGTGAGAGAACATCAAATGTAAGTATTTGAAATAGCTACTTGACCCAGGGTCTTAACTTGCCTTAGAGTAATGCCACCAGCCTGAGTACACAACTCTTGTCCATGTGACGTGGGTCCCAGTAGCAACCAACATTTGTTGAATTCTTTCTAGTTTATCATACAGTTCTATACAGATTACCTCATTTATTCCTCATAATGGCTTTATAAATTGGGCATTTCTGTTTTGAGTTTTATAGATGAGGAAAAGAAGCCTCAGAGAGGTGAAGCAGCACAATCACAATGTTAGCAAGTAGAAGAGAAGATTTAAAGCTGAGTTGCTACCTGTTCTGGCCTAGAGATCCTGGGCTATGTCGTATTTTCTCTCTTATTACTATAGATATCACCTGTGATTCAATACTATAAAATATTTTTCATAGAAAGTTTCTATAAATAGCATCTGAGTAGCCATAAATCCTCATATGTTTTAGCATATCATTTCATCTCCATCTCTATAGGTACTTTTCAGCATGCTTTTGATTCACACATCTCATTAAAGTGTATCTCTTGCCTTTATCAAGTTCATCTTACATTTCATTTAAGTTCGTCTTGCACTTCACTCTCTTTACATTTGCTTCTCTCGGCATGCGTTTTGGACAAATGTCTGTCAAATATTCTTTTTTTTTTTCTTCTTTATTCCCATGATCTACAACCAGACTTGGGTTACAAAAATGAACTATCTTATAAAGAGACCATTATGTCATTAGTTGAATGTAGAGAGTAGGATTACAATTTGGCTTTGATATTAGGTCCTACTGCTGCTGTCCCAGAGATACTTGTTCATGGACGGGTCCCACTCAGGCTCGATATCTTCACAAGGCTTTTAGAAGAGAAAAACCTGAGCAATTCATGTGTGCTTGTAAAAGAAATTGACCAAGTCTCCAGCGTAACACCCTAGGCCCTGAGTGGAGGCTCTACCCCTCTGCTCTGAATCCTTTTTCCCTGATAGGCAGTCAGTTCACTTCTGGTCCCTCTCTGATAGGACAGGACAAATATGATACCCAAGGAAACTGAAGAAATCATTTTTCTAATTCCACTTGCATAGTTGTTGTTGTTAGCTGCCATTGAGTTGCCCTGGATTAATGGCGACCCCATGCACAATGGGATCGGACTGTTGTGATCTATAGGTTTTCATTGGCTCATTTTTGGAAGTAGATCTCCAGGCCTCTCTTCTGCATAGTCTGTCTTAGTCTGGAAGCTCTGCTGAAACCCGTTCAGTATCACAGCAAAATGCAAAACTCCAGTGACAGATGAGGTGGCTGTGCTTGAGGTGCATTGGCAAGGAATCACACCTGGGTCTCCTGCGTGGAAGGCGAGAATTCTTCTGCTGAACTACCATTGCCTTCCTATATGTATGGTAGTGACTCCTAAAAGTTATCTAACTTGGCCCCTAGAAGGTGCTGCCAACATTGCTGTCAGAGCAATATTACCAGGAGCCTACCTTTTAAACCAGGATGCTCACTCCTCTCTGCATCTTCAGCCAGCAGATGACACAGGATTCAATTTCAGTGGTATCTAACAGAAAGAAGACGGTTGTTGTTTTTGTCTCTCTTAAGGACACTTTATAGGCCCTTCAGAGATATCTGCTTGAATGTGTTCCCTTGCTTAAAAATGCATCTCATCTAAACCAAGACATCCAAAGCAAGGATTCCGGAGGGCTAATTAGGGACAGAGAGATGGGCTACCTGCTTCAGTTTCTTCTGGTGGACTGTATCTGTTCCAGTTTCTTCTGCCATTAAAGTACAGATAGTCCCCAACTTACAACAGGGTTCTGTTCCAACGACTCTGTCGTAATTTGGTTCTGGTGTAAGTCAAATACTTTTTTTTTTTTTAGTTTTCATAGTCTTCTATACGGCACTGTTTCGAACAGTAAATCATAACATTGAACATCCGTGAGTGAACATCTGAGAATGATAACACCAGCAAATTACGGGCTGCAAAATTGTAGGTAGTACACATTACTATCGATAAGATGAACAACAACAAAAAAAGACGGTCTTCAGTGTGGTTTGTTGTAACTCAAATACGTCTTAACTTGGGGACTACCTATATACAAAAAATAATTCATGTAACAAAGATTTAAACACAAAAATCCTACGAAACAAAAGGAAGTGTATACAGACATTATACATTTAAGGGGATATTCATAGAGGGAAGATAGCATTAAAAAATGTTAGGTACATAATCATGTAATCTATACCTCATTTTTTTTTGTTTGTTTAACAGAAGAAAGTTTATTAGAATTTGCAGAGGAAACAAAAGAATATACAAACAAGGTATTGCCTATTAAAGACCACCTGAACTATCTTATTATTTTAGCAGTTTAAGGCTAGGTATTGTATTATTTGTGTTTCGTGGTAGTGAAGAAACATTTAATCTTGAGTTTCACAGATGGATGCCATATTATTACAGAGTTCTAATGGTGTGATTTGGTGGCAGCAGTGAATCGTGTTCATAAAATCGTACTAAAGGTTTCTATCATACACTGCTAGTTGCTGACCCAATAATTCTTCTGCCTTTCTAACAGAAACTCTATTTCATCTGCATCTGCAATATGGATATATGAAAAATAACTGTCTTCACAGACTCTCTTCCACCACTGCTTAGCCATGTGACTGGATTCTAAATAATAAAAGTAGAATTACCCTGTGGAGCTCATAGGAAAGCTTTTTTTTTTCCTTTTTCCCATCTATACATCATTTTTAACTTTTCACTTTAGATTCAGAGTTTTCATCTACCAGAAGCCTAAGAAAATGTTAATGGACTTGATTTTGGATATAGTAAAAATATTATGTGACCTTAGTAGAGTGGATTTTTTTTTTTTTTTTTTTGTTTAAAATTTGGCAAGGCATAGGAGAACTTTTCTACAAAGAAACAAAATGGAAAGGATTGATGAATATAGGAACATAGCTTGGAAATATAACAAAAGTGCAGTTATTGCTTTTTCAGTTAAATGCTCTTTGTGTTTTCGTGGCAGGGAAGAGCTTTAACCAAAAACTCCTATTTTGAAACTGATTGGAAGCCTTGAGAAGATGGAGATCACTTGTTACCTACGTCACATAGTTAACCTGGATTTTGAACTCTGTCGGAAGAAGAGATTAAAAAAAAAAAAAATTGGGGGCAGAAATTTCAGCTTAAAATTTCAGAATATATAAGAGATGTGACTGTTTATACCTACAAAGACCAAAAGCTGCTTTTAAAGAAATTCAAAACTCCATGAGCTCTAAAAGTTTTCTACAAGAAGAAAGCTGGGCCTGGGAGTTAGGGCTGCATTTGCTCTCTGCGTCTGAATCTTTGAGTCTCCTAATAACTGTGCCTCCGTTTTCCTAGCAGGAAAATAAGATGAAATTACCACAAGGAGAAGTCATGATTAGTAAGCGAATATTTTGTAGCATATTTGTTATTGTCAGGTGGAATGAGAAGCCTTTGAAGTAGTGTTAATATAGTTTACAGTGGGGCATTCATCTAAATAAAACGTTAAAGATGTCTTGGGCCAAATTACTGAAGAAAAAGCAACCTTTTTGCTCTAGAGTTTGGCTTGCACTTTGTGTTTCTACCAGAGTTTTGAATTTTCTGACCACATTAATCAAGACCACATTATTTTTATGATAAGTATGTCAGTATCCTACTTTTTAGGCTGTCAAGGACAATATATATGCATAAAGTTAGAGGGTTCTCATTAGAATAAAGGTGAATTTAATCGCATGGACAGGGAGAGTATGGGGGGCTGGGTCAAAGAACATACTTTGCAGATTTATTAGTAGACTGAGTCATACTCTTGGATTCTCCGGCTCTGCTACTGTATCTAAAGATACCCTGTGTCTTTTCTAGTTCCTGCTCTATTAATCTGGAAAACAGCACTTAACTACCTCAGCAGTATGGATTAGCTCGTTGGCATTGCTGCTTCTTTGTGTAATATTTTGGTCTGAATTCCCATTTAATAGTGCCAGCATGACAGGATTTTTATTGCAATTTAAATCTTTAAAAAAAATTTACAGGCAGGAAAAGTTCTTATATAAAATTTTTCTGAAAATGGAAGTTTTCCTCTTTCTGCTTATTGTTTTTCTGAGTAGGGAGTTCGTAGAAGGGGAAAAGAGAGGGCCAAATAATCATCTCCATTAATATTAAATTGCACAGAAGAAAGTTATTACTGATAGTTATTTTATATGAGATGTCTTCATATTTGCCAAAAACAATCTTGATCATTTTGCTTTCTTTATGACAAGATATAACCAACCAGGGATAAACTGGCCGTAAGATAAAAAACTTGGTTCACTTTTTCCCTCAGCTTGATGTTTCCCAGTTTCACTCTCTGTAAGGACAACAGAAACTAAATCTTGGGGCTGTGTACCTGCGATAGTAAAGCTGTTGAAAACCTTGAAGATATCTAGGTATTTTGCAAAGTACCTATACGTAACACGGTGTGTGTGTGTGAAGTTAGCTCCCTTTATCTCAGTATTCCCTTTCATTCCTTATTCATATACTAGATTGTCTATAAGTTCAACATAGGTACAAGCCATAACTGGGTTATTTTTCTACTGGGTTCATTTGAAAATTAATTGATAATTATCTTTAAAGCATTATAAATGTTAATATGTGTTACTACTAAATGCTTGGTTTCATTTGCAAAACTTCCAATGGTTTCTGCTTAATATTCTAACCTTTTTTCTAAGCCTTTTGTGTTGGATGAAAAAGAAAATTTGTTTCATCACAAATTAACTCTAGAATGCAGTCCTTTGAATGTCTGCTTGCTAGAAGAATTACTGATGAACATAAAGGGAGGGAGCCATAGAGGGAGGGGTTTCATATGTTGACTTAAAGCAGGTCACCATATGAAACACTCAGGAGATGCACAAACTAAGACAAGGGAGGATTGTTGTTTTCCATAAGTCAAGCTTTGAAGGAGGCATTTGGGAATTCTGACATACGTTTCTGTCTCTGATTTTCTTCTGCATGACCTTTTCATGCAAGAGCAAATCACTGAGCTCTGCATGAATGTCTGCTCTCGCCTTTTAACTGGAAGAGTTAAGGAATCCCTCAGGGAAGGAACAGAAGTCTCAGTCCGGCAATAAAGACTTTGATCCTACCTTTGCTATAGCTGAATCACAGTGGAAAAGATTGGAAAATGCGGACTTTCCACTGTGAAGATCCACTGCTATACAAAGTAAAAGGTTAAAGGAGGTATCAGTCTGGCCTATCAATCTGGCAGGACAAACTATCCCTAAAGAGCAGAGGATATCTTCTTAAAAGAGCCTTCCTCAAGGTAATTTAATGGCATGAGGTCATTTAAAATATTAGACCAAACTCTGATTTAGGCTATGTGATTGGAGAATGAAATGTTCAGATTATTAGGACATTATCACTAACATAGCAATATAATATTCAATAAGGCTGTCACTTTATTTGAAAACAACAAAATGCACTTAGCACTAAAAGTGCATGCTATATAACTCAGATTTGTTTTTATTATTATTCATAAGCTACTTTGGAGTCTTGTAGATGTAGCTTTGATAGTTGAATTTAATACATGATTCTTGTTATTTTCATGGGTTCTGGATCAAGGGGAATTTATTTGATAAATAGGGCATTACTTCCACGGTTGCAGTGGTTTAAGAATACACTCATACACCACATAACATCCATTTGTCTGATAGCATATGTGTCCATGGTCCCATAAGGTTATCAATAGAGTTCAGAAACCCCGATCAGAGAATGGGACATAGTGGTTGTAATCTCAAAAACAAAGAAAAAATTCTCCAAGCTGTTAAAGGATGGGCTCCACTGCAAGCTACAAGGCTAGTGAAAACGTGAGAGGGACCTATATCAGATATGGAGAAATGGCTAATGATGTGGATTGAGGACCAACCAAACACAAAAGCGAATCCTTCTCAGCATGTTGCCGTCACTGCTAAGGCACGAAGCTTGTTCGACATGCTTAAAGAAAAAGTAGGACCAGACTACAATATCCAGTTTAGTGCTAGCTCTGTGTGGTTCAAGTGCTTCAAACATCGTTTTTCACCGCATCGTGTGAGAGTGGTGAGGCTGCAAGTGCTGATGCGAAGGGAGCGGAAGAATTTGTTGAAACCTTAGATAAACTAGGTGTTGACACAACGCCCAAATCACATAACGTCCTATTTCACAGAATGTACCATGGATGTTAAGTGATGCATGACTGTATTTGTTCACACTTATATGGCCTAAAGACCTATTGAAGGAGTCCTCATGGCTCAGTGGTTAAGCGTTCCACTGCTAACCGAAAGATCGGCAGTTCAGACCCAGTAGCCACTCTGCGGGAGAAAGATATGGCAGTGTGCTTCCCTAAAGATTACAGCCTTGGAAACCCTATGGGGGCAGTTCTACTCTGTTCTATAGACTAAGCAATGGATTTGGTTTGGTTTGGAAGATCCACTGACTTTATATAATAAAATGAGTGCAGGGTTTATCTGATGATTTTATTCCCACCTCTTCCTTGGTTTTTCTTTGTCAGTATCTAGTCACCATGGGCTGGATCGCCTCACATTTTTTTTTTTTTTTTTAGGCACATAGTGAATTGTAATTGAAAAACTCTGACCTAACACTACCTAGTGGAGCCCTGGTGGCATAGTGGTTAAGAGCTTGGCTGCTAACCAAAAGATCAGCAGTTCAAATCCACCAGCTGCTCCTTGGAAACCCTATGGGGCGGTTCTACCCTGTCCTATAGGGTCGCTATGAGTCAGAATCAACTTGACAATGGGTTTGGTTTTGGTTTTAACATTACCTAAGCAAAAAGGTGGAAACTACACAAATATTCTTTGTAGACTCTAAAAATTTGTTGGCTCAAATGACACCTGAACTAGTCATTCATTTGCATGTTTGTTCTACTAGCGTGACTTTTTTTCATGATTTTTAGGCAGTTGGTATCTTTGTGTCATTTCCATGTTTTCAACAAAGGATACTTCAACATCTATCAGCCCCTGAATTGAATTTCCATTTTGCAGTGGAAAGAGATGACAACACATTTATTCCATAGGAAACAATTGATTTAGGAGATTTACTTATCTTCATTAAATTGAAATGTTTTAGCTAAAGAAAAAATGAGTCAAGTTTTCTTTCCTAAAATGTTTCTAACAATTCCCAGTAGGGATGGGTGGGGCTAGCATCCCCATTTACAGTCCAGCTGCAATGAGTCATGGCCCCTACCTCATTCTATTCCCAAGTGTGTGATAAATGCTGAAACATGTGTGAAGGTCACAATCTGCAAATCATTTGCATTGTATTCCACAAAGGATCCTGGGTGGAGATGGGAAGGTAGGAGTGTACCTTAATATAATTGATGATGAAAGGAATTTGCCTGGAAATTTCCTGGATTCGTACATTTTGCAAAATCTTACACTACTCCTGTGAGTTAATAAGACACGGGTTAAACTCCCCTGGGATAATGAGACACAGGTTAAAATATTCCCCTTAGCCACACAGTTATAGTTACAACCTAGATTATGTGATTGCCCATTCTGGTTTTGTTGTTGTTGTTTTCTCTAGATTTACTTACTTCTTTTAGAGATTAAGGGCATAAATAGGAAAAAAGTGACCATCTTATCAGAAGTATAGTTATTTATATATCAGGTCTATGTGATGATTCTTAAGCAATAGTGAAGATACCATAATATATGTTCAGTATGAAGTATGGATAATGAAGGACTTTTCTTTTTCATTTTGTTTGTAATGGCATTTTACCCAAATGTGGAGCATATAAATTCATGTTACTTCATTATTTTTTTGAAATTTTCTAGTCTTAATATTAGCTAATTAGAAATATAAATTTAAAAGTTGTGTATATAAAATGATCTTTCTTCTCTCTTGTATGTAATGGTGTCATTTTCATTATAATAAACATGTTTCAAAAACCTGTCTACTTTTTTTGGTCAGTTACAATACAACATTGTAGATTTTAGCAATAGTTGAATTGTAATCACTGTTCAATGATACACGCATGTGAGCATAGTGTGAAAATGAAACTCATTCTTTGATTTATCTTTTTGTAGTGAGG